TATCTTTAAAAAATTATATTTTTTTTTAAATATTCAATATAACATATTCATTTTAACATATATTTTTACATATATTTGCAAATGCATTCTAATAATGTATAAAAATATTTTTCAGATATTTTGTATATATATACATTTATAACATATATATATATACAGTATACATATAATGTTAATTATAAATATATATGCTATATATTTATATATTTTTATATATATATATTATTATATATTACATTTTATATATACTTTTTGATATATATCGAATGCAGCCAAAATTGTATATTTCAAATATATGTCAAATATATTTGGGAAGAATTTTTTCAAATATATTTAAAATATATATTTGCACCAGTTATTTTTTATAACATTAAAATGAAGAGATTGTTCATAATTTTACCATTTTTAGTTAAAAGGAGTCACCCCCGCTGGCTCTCTAGATATCTAGGGGCTGTACTGTTCAGTATATATATATATATATATATATATATATATATAATTACTGTAATATTTTTATATATTAATAAAAAAGATATGTATTTTTAAAAATATATATTTTACAAAATATACTCTTTCAGATTTTTTTTTTTAACATATGAGTAACTAATTTTAACATATTTTTTACAAATTTGCAAATGCATTCTAATAATGTAGATTAAATGTATTTTTAAAAATATTTTTCAGATATTTTGTAATATATAAAAAACGCATTTCAACATACAGTATATGTGGAAAATATATATATATATATATATATATATATATATAACATATATATATATATACAATATATATATATATATATATATATATATACAATATATATATATATATATATATATATATATTTTATAAATATATTTTGAAATATATATCGAATGCAGCCAAAATTGTAGTATTTCAAATATATGTCAATATATTTGGGAAGAATATTTTTCAAATATATTTAAAATATATTTTTTTTCCATGTGGGCAGCTGCACCAGTTTATAGTAAATCTCCCCAGTGTATATATGATGTCTAGTTAAAATGAAGAGATTGTTCATAATTTTACCATATCACCTTTAGTTACAAAGGAGTCACCCCCGCTGGCTCTCTAGAGTGAGGTCTAGGGGCTGTACTGTTCAATATATATATATATATATATATATATACTGTATGCTGGAATGCATTTTTTATATATTACAAAATATATGTAAAATATTTTTTAAAATAAATATTTTACAAAATATACTCTTCAGATTTTTTTTAACATATTAGTAACTCATTTTAACATATATTTTTACATATATTTGCAAATGCATTCTGATAATGTAGATTAAATGTATTTTTAAAAATATTTTTCAGATTTTTGTAATATATAAAAAACGCATTTCAACATACAGTATATGTGGAAATATATATATACACATATATATTGTGTATATATATATATTTCAACATATACTGTGTATATATATATATATATATATATATATATATATTTTATTTAATTTTTTAATATATTGAATACAGCCAAAATTGTAGTATTTCAAATATATGTCAATATATTTGGGAAGAATATTTTTCAAATATATTTAAAATATATTTTTCTTCCATGTGGGCAGCTGCACCCGTTTTAGTAAATCTCCCCAGTGTATATCTGATGTCTAGTTAAAATGAAGAGATTGTTCATAATTGCATCATATCTCCTTTCGTTACAAAGGAGTCACCCCCACTGGCTCTCTAGAGTGAGGTCTAGGGGATGTTCTGTTCAGCAATAAGTCAGTTCCACAATGGACAATCCTGAAGAACTGATTTCTTAGTTTCATTGCTACATAAATTAACAGAAGTGACTGTACAAATAGAAAAATATTTATGATAAAAAACAACCACCACAAAGACCCTAAAAACAAAAAATGTTCATTAGTTATGGTTATTATAAATCCCAAACCCCAGACCAGGATAGAGACAACCGTAAACTTTAGCATTCGATGGTAAGCCTTGGAACCTCTGCTTATAGTTCCACAATTGTTCATTCTTCTAATGTGGATGGAAAGAAAATTAGAAAAAAGAACCGAAGTGATGAAGACCATTAAAAACAGAAAAAATCTCACACAACAAATTTAAATACAACATTATCTTCTCATTTTGTTCAGAGTCTAAAGTTACATTTTGTGTTGACTTCCAAAAAAACATTTCAGTTTCAGTGACCAAAAAGTAAATGGTTGTGTATCCAAAAGACAACATAATAGAGGCAATAATTAGAAATACGGCCCTCTTTGATATGAGGGCCTTCAAACTTATGGAGAAGACGTTGTGAAAGGTGGATATCTTGAAGTAGAAGAAGATGGAGAGCAGAGCTGATAAGCCAAGGTCAGAAAGTGTTGAGAAATACATTGTATATTCGGCACACTTTGAAAATATTTTAGGGATCTCCAGATAGTACTGCACTGAAAAGCAATACAATAAGGAAGCAACGTGAAAGAAGATCCTTGATATCCCAAGAGAGGTGATAATTTTGTCTGCATCTGTTATTGATCTTCTCTTCATCCAGTCAATGACATTAACAACCACAATAAATGATTGTATCACCAGACCTGCCAATACCGATATTCCAAGACAGACAAGTGAAAAAGGATGAGGGATTAAATCAAGTTCATAATAGTCTTCTGTAGAATTTGCAATCTTTACAACTGTATTCAATAAATAGAAAGGCAGATAGAAATGATAGAATTGCTGTGTATTTACAGATGGAAACTCACTTCTTTTAATCTATGCTGCAAATGGTTCTGCAAGTCCTTTGGCTCTGCTGATCTTTATACAAATTAGAAAGATGAGAGCAATCATGACACTTGCAAAACACTGGTGGATGTGGTTGAGAGATATCAGGACACTGGGCGGAATGAGAATAATCTTCTTTCTGCAAACACAGAGGTTAAAGGAAAACTGTGCTGGAATGTAATGTTCAGTATATACAGTACATATTACTATAGAAGACATACTAGAGTTCAACAGGGTGTGTTGCCTGAAACTGTTTCCAATTTTGTCCATGTCTTTTTGATGACAACCCTTGTTCTATTCGAGATAATATATATATTATATATATATATATATATATATATATATATAGGCAAACATTCAAAATCAGCAGGGGATCAAATACTTATTATATATATTTTGAAATATATTGAATACAGCCAATATATATATACAGTGAAGGAAATAGGTATTTGATCCCCTGCTGATTTTGAATGTTTGCCCATATATATATATTATATATATATATATATATATATATATGTGTGTTTATATATGGGCAAACATTCAAAATCAGCAGGGGATCAAATACCTCTTTCCTTCACTGTATACTGTATATATATATATTGGCTCTATTCAATATTTTTCAAAATATATATAATAAGTATTTGATCCCCTGCTGATTTTGAATGTTTGCCCACTCACAAACAGATGATCAGTCTACAAATCGAATGGTAGGTGTATTGTAACACTGAGAGACAGAATAGCAACAACAAATTCAGCAGAAATGCATGTCTAACAAATGATGCACTGATTTGCATGTTCATGAGAGAAATAAGTATTTGATCCCCTATCATTCAGAAGGATTTCTGGCTACCAGCTGTCTTTCATACAGGTAACAAGCTGAGATTAGAAGCAGTCTCTTAAAGGGAGTGCTGCTAATCTCATTTTGTTACCTGTATAAAAGACACCTGTCCACAGGAGCAATCAAACAATCAGATTCCAAACTCTCCACCATGGCAAAGACCAAAAGAGTTGTCCAAGGATGTCAGAGACAAGATTGTAGACCTACACAAGGCTGGACTGGGCTACCAAATTATGGCCAAGCAGCTTGGTGAGAAGGTGACAACAGTTGGTGCAATCATTCGCAAATGGAAGTGTTACAATACACCTAGCATTCGATTTTTAGACTGATCATTTCTTTGTGAGTGGGCCAACATTCAAAATCAACAGGGGATCAAATACTTATTTCCTTTACTGTATATATATATATATATAGATATATATATATATAGATATACATATATACAGGGGCGGACTGACCATTTGGAAACTCAGGCACTGCCTGAGGGCCCGGGGTCAGTAGGGGGCCCCATGAGATGCCCCTGGTACCTTTTTTCATAGGCTTTTTTGAGTTTGGGCAAGGACACAGGGGCCCCATGATCCCCTATTGCCCGGGGGCCCCATGAGTTGTCAGTCCATCCCTGTATGTATATATATATATATATATATATATACACACACACATAATATATACTGTATATATTGTAATGAGGCCCTGCCATGGAGAAAATGGATGTAGAAATGACACAGGCATGTATGCAGTACAGGGCTCTGAAATATTGATGAGCGGAAAAAAACTGTTTTTTACACCTTTCTCCAGTTTTTGTTATTCTCAGATTGGGTCGAAGAGTTTGGAGACTTTGCATAGTTTTGGGAGGGATATATGTCCACCCAAGTGTCCAGGTCTTGCAGGAGATGGGCAGGCTGTGACTGCAAGTGCTCACAACCTTTAACCACTTCCTGTCCGGACACTTTTACCCCCTTCCTGTCCAGAACAATTTTCAGCTTTCAGTGCTATCACACTTTGAATGACAATTGCGCGCGGTCATGCAACACTGTACCCATATCAATTATTTAGCATTTTTTTGAGACAGACAAAACTTTATTTTGGTGGTATTTATTTACCACTGGGATTTTTATTTTTTTTACTGTATAAATGAAAAATTCCAAAAATTTTAAATTATAATTTTTAAAAAACTTTTTTTACATTTTTATATTGTTTATGTTTTTTTTTAACATACTGTCACCCTAGCAGTACAGTGTCACCATAGTGGCACTGTACTACTTGTGGGGGGTGATGAAGATTTTTTTTTTTTTTTTTTTTTTTTCTTTTTACACTGATTGCTTTTACACCCATAAAGGCTGTAAAAGCAATAATTTCTTCTTCTCTCTGGCTGCATTCTTGCAGCCATTGAGAAATACTTGGAGAGCTGTGATTGGTCACAGCTTGGCACATGGAACAAGGCTGTTGTGAATAGCCTTGTACCATGTGACCTCTGTGATCATTCACAGATTTCACTAGTACTGTAGTAAGCAATGATGTCAGAAGTGACATCTTGTTTACTACTATTCATGTGATCACTGATTGGCCACATGAGTCGGGACCTCACTCAGAGGTCCCGTACAGCGATCTGTGTTCCCAGGGAGAACGCACAGGCAATGGATGCATCTTGCTTACTACTATTCATGTGATCACTGATTGGCCAATCAGTGATCACATGATCGGGACCTCACACAGAGGTCCCATACAGCAATCAGTGTTCCACTGTGTCCTCCGGACACGGCGGGCACCGGATCGTGGTGCCGTGCACGCACAGGCTGCAAAATGTGGGCGCCGTTTATGAACGACAACCCGCTCCTGCACTGCTCCCGTCCAGCGTTTATGTACATGGGCCGGACGGGAAGTGGTTAAAATGAAGGGGACAGGTGTGGGCCTCCATTAGGAGATAGGTGTGCTCCACTCAAGAGACAGCATTCCATGCTTGAGGAGAGATTCCTTGTCCATAGAACAGGGATAGCCAAGGCAGCTAAGCAAGTTTGGGAGACTGAGAGAGCCAGGATTACAAGGCGAACCCAGTGGACTGAGGGGATTTGGAGGAGAACCCCTATAGAGGAGCCAGTGTGTGAGCCTATGCAGCTGGATCCTGTAATGGAAACAGCTGAGACAGCAGGGCAAGCTGAATGAACCCACAGGGACCAGATAAAATCCAAGGTTAAGGTCTAACCCGCTACACTGGTAGAGAGCTCTAGGTGGCTTGGTATTTTTTTTGTTAGCTGATTTTGATGGTGAAGATCCCCTGAGTGGGCAACTATTGAACAATGATCCTATTTAATAAATATGGGCCAACAAGCTGTCAAACCACAGCGTCGGCTGGTGTGGACCCACTAAAAATTCTCCTACCACTGATTTCAATTTAGTTTGTATTTTGATAGTTAAATTTAGTTTTCACACTCTAGACGATGTGGTTGTAATTGTTAGGTAAATCAGAATTTGCACACTGTAATCAGTGCTGTTGTGTTCTACTAATTAGGTTGCTCAGTATGTTCTGCTGCTGCAAGCCTGATAGCTCCCTTTGCATCCAGAAAGCTTGAAAAGCTTCTGGATAATAGGTGTGGAGCTATGCAGGTGACATCATGAATATTGATACAGCCCTGGCCTATCCCAGAGAGAGAGAGACTCTGATGGCATGCTGGGTAACTGTATATATATTCAGTGTGTATATATATCAGTGAGCACACTGAGTTCTGGGTCTTTTCTGTATAGGATTGTTTCAGCTTGGAGAAGGTATGCTGCTGTCCCAGGCAATGCTGATGGATCTACTGCCATAGGCTTTAGGTGGGTGACCTGAGGGCCCCCAGAGTGTTGAGACCCAGGTTCTGTTCTGGTGGGTGCACATTCTGATGGAGTGTTAATCACGGCAAGATCACTATGATGGTGGATGGTATCATCTGAAGGAAATACTGAAATAATTCAAATGAACTGAACTTTTTTCACATTTGTGCACTTTGGTGGAAGTTTCAATATTAGTTTCAATTTTTTAATTTTAAATTTTTGCCACGATTTTTGTTATATTTTATATATTCTTTAGGTGATATTTGTTTACTTAATTTTGCAATACTGAGCGCTGTTTATGAGGACAGTTCTAACACTCATTTAATTTATTTGTACATAGTTCTTGTTTTTGGAGTATCCCACCTAATTCCCTCAACCCTATCCAAGTTCTCCAAAAATAAAAACAACAAAAAACAACACCCCTAGACTGGTCATTAAAGAAACGTGTGAATGAGCCTATGTGCCTGAGTACGGGACAGAGCTTTTGACCTGAACATTATTCCTGCAACCCCTACAGAAGTAGAGCTACATGAATAGTGGGCATTCATGTGTTTTGCACTGAGGAGAGGCTTCCGTCTAAGCCATAAAAGACTGTGGTGATGGTTGTCCTTCTGGAACTTTTTGCCATCATCAAACAAGATCTCTGGAACCCAATTGCTCAGTTTGGCTGGGCAAGCAGCTCTTGGAAGAGTCCTGGTTGAGCCAAACTTCTTCCATTTGAGAATTATGGAGACCACTGTGCACTTGGGAACCTTCAGTGCAGCAGAAATTTTCTTGTAGCCTTCCCCAGATCTGTGCCTTGCACTAATCCTGTCTCCGAGCTCTGCAGGCAGTTCCTTTTGACCTCCTTTCCCTCTGATACAGTATGCATTGTCAGCTGTGAGGCCCTTTGTAGAGAGGTCTGTGTCTTTCCAAATCACGTCCAATCAATTTAATTTACTACAGGTGGACTCTAATCAAGGTGTAGAAACATCTTAGCAATGATCAAGAGAAATGGGAGGCACCTGATCTTAAATTTCAAGTGTTCTTGCAAAGGGTCTGAATACTTTGTTCAATGTGATATTTCATTTTTTTTAATTTTATTAAATTTGCAAACATTTTTTAAATTCTGTTTTCACTTTGTCATTATGGAGTACTGAGTGTAGATTAATAAGAAAAAAATTAATTTAAACAACTGAAGTATCAGGCTGCAACATAAACAAAATTGTGAAGGGGTCTGAATATTTTAATATACTGTACATATACAGTATTTCATGAGAGTCAATGCACAGGTGTTGCTTTGTTATTTTCATGTTCTCCACATGTTCCATCTTTTGCTCCCACAACTCACCCCTTGTAATGTGGACCCAGGAGAGTTACTAACCAGTAATGGTCCATTTCCTTGATGCAATGAATTATTATGTCCCAGCTTAGAGCAAGAACAAGCCCATCCGCCACCAACTCCAAGTTACCAAAGGTAGAGGAAACTGAATTCTCCATGGTCACTGACGTGACATTGTCCTCAGCTATCTCCTTTCAGCCATGTGTAATTATTGAGGTTTATGAGGGATGAAAGGTATCCCTCGCAGCCTGCCCCATGTCCTCCACCTCCTTAATGCCATCACTGCAACCTCTCATCCTCATGTTCCTCCTGTGCCTGCTGAGGCCTCACAAAGACAGCTTCTAGACATAGCAGGCCTTGAGACACCAGAAGGTCCTGCTCTTCCTTTTTCTGCTGTGCCTTCAGTGCCATCTCTCCAGGGCCATGCAATGTTGGCTCCTGCAGTGACACTACAGGAATAGTGATGCTGATGCTCACATTGCCACAACCCATCATTCTGAAATGGTTACAATAGGGTGCCCTGTTCCTATACGAGGAGCCACTGACTGCGAGAAAAGAACCCTGTACTCTTGCCATACTCACACAGGTATTTATTTATGTCCCACTGATGCAGGTAACCATATCACATATCAGGTACTTTTTGGCCAAACGGAGTTCCCCCTGAACTTCACCCAGCCTCACACTGAACTGTGTATGACTGCCTTAACTGGCTGCAAACTCTTTTGGCTTGCCTCAGAAGATCCTGTAAGCCAGAGTAACTATCCAGGAAGCATTGCACCCAGGGGCGGACTGACCATTTGGAAACTCGGGCACTGCCCGAGGGCCCGGAGTCAGTAGGGGACCCCATGAGATGCCCCTGGTACCTTTTTCATAGGCTTTTTTGAGTTTGGGCAAGGACACAGGGGCCCCTGTGATCCCCTATTGCCTGGGGGCCCCATGAGTTGTCATTCCGCCCCTGATTACACCACCAGGTTGAAGATATGTGCCAGACAAGGCAAAGCATGCGTGTTTCCCTGCAGAACAGTAGTTTGATGCCATTTTCACACATGACATTCCCTGGTATTAAATGGCATGGGGTTAACCACCTTTGGACCTGCCTCTGAAAAGCTGACAGAATCTCTGCCCGAGTGTGGCTCTTGTCCCAACCTGGTGGTATGCACCACCAGGTTGAAGATATGTACCAGACAAGGCAAAGCATGTGTGTTCCCCTGCAGAACAGTAGTTTGATGCCATTTTCACACATGACATTCCCTGGTATTATATGGCATGGGGTTAACCACCTTTGGACCTGCCTCTGAAAAGCTGACAGAATCTCTGAGCTAGTGTGGCTCCTGTCCCTTAGGCATACCAACTTCAACCCTGCATGGAATTGTTGTTGCATAGCCGCTTGAATACATGTGGTTCATAGGATGACTCACCTGAAGAAGGCATTGAAGAAGAGGCAGAGATGTGGTGACTACTCTGCCCCTCTCAACAGCTTTAAGGTTACGAGGTAGAACAACCAGTTCCAATGGTGTGCCCCATCCTGCATCCTTCCTGGCTGCCAGCAGAGTTACCTACTGGGCCACAAATTACCTCCCTGCCCATGTCTGTAACCAGATGGACCCTCCTGCTGACTGTGTGGTCCAGCAATGTGGAAACATTAGCTTCCATTTGATGGTGGCAGGCAAGGATGCCATTACAGGTGAAGAGATGTCACTGCAGAACAGCACAGACTGCAAATTCACAAAAAAGGATAACATCCAGCAGCTGGTAAGGCAAGATTTTTAGAGCCAACAGTTTTAGCAGGCTGGCATTGAGCCACTGGGTATAGGGGTGTCTGGGAAAATACCTCTTCTTATGTTCCATCAGCTGAGATAGAAAAACTTGCCTGCTCAATGCTACAGATGTAGATGCAAGCCTACGATTGGCAGAATCAAGCAATGTTGTAGTTTGCACTTACCCCTAGTCTATATAACGCCACGAAGACCCCCTTCCCCACTGGAACAGCAATAAGGAAAACCATTGGAAGACATTCATCACTATCACTGGAGGCTGCTGATGGGGATTCTTGTATAGTGGTGACAGAGGTGGAAAGAGGAGAAGCTAGGAGGGGGATGGGGAGTGCAGCACTTTTCCTGCAGACAAGCATTCAGGTGCTGCTCACAATGAGCTGCATGGTGATAAATCATGTGTCTGGGACCACACTTGATATGCTTTAGGCATAGACTGCATATGACTGCATATATGCTGCCTACAGCATATGTGATAAATAAAAGTGGCATGACAGAGCGTGTGGAGTTATATCCGCGATGAACAACAAAGGCATTTCCGTCATGACATCACTGTAATGCTGAAGCCTAAGGCATTGGCATACCATATGAATAAAGTCCCTGGTATGTATGCAGCATTTGGGACAACCTGTGGTGGGGTGGGGTGGGGTGCGGGGTGAGTGGTGGAGTGGGATGGGGAGTAGAATGACGCTGAAAAGTTGAATAGGTATTTTATACTAAAAATGGCTGAGTAAGCCTTTGGGATGGTTTTAGTAATTTCTTCTAATATGGAGGATCATTGGTCCATGAGACCATGCCAATATCAGAAGATCATAGTTTTATGGCTTGCTTGTGGGGATGTGCAGCGTGGTGCGGCGGCAGTAAAGACAGAGTCTGGTTGCACTAAAAAGTTGGAACTCGTAGTGAAGAAAATGCCAAACTACAAGAATCCCAGCGGAGAGCGCTGCTTAGGGAAAACACTCACAGTTCAGTTCAAATAAAGAGAT